AGCACCCTGAGCTGTGGGACGTTGTGTGGCCCTGTGCTCGGGGTTGGGGTGTGATCCTCTCTGCCCCCTGTGCCGGTGTTTTGGGCGCTCTGATTTGAAGGCAGGTGCTGCTGGATGTGCCTTGTCCTTCCTTGTCAGCTCTCCAAGTGCTCTGAGCAGGGGGCAGGGAGCCGTCAGCAGCTCTGCCTCGCACCAGGCAGGGCTGTGTCCTGGAGCGCGTTGTCAGCGCCGCTACCGGGGCCCTGATGAAGAACTTAATTTGCCAATAACCAAAGGGAGTCCTTGGAGGAGGGAGCTGGCTGCAGTTCAGTGTGTTGCAGGGAGGGAATGGGGGAAAATAAGTAAATGTTGCAGAAATGGAAGGGAAGGAGGAATTGGAACAAATGAAGATTGATGTGCAGTGGGCTGAGCTGCTGCAATTAAGGTTTTCCCTCCTGCCCTGGCCTGGGTCGTGGTGTCAGTCAGACCAAATAACTCATTCAGAAATGCTTTCCTTCTGCTCTCCTGCCCTGGTTGGACCCTTCCTTGGGGTGTCAGAGTGGTCCCCTTCCCCAGGAATGGTTTGCCATGTCCAGGCACCCCAGGCTGGACTGTGCACCTGGCACTGGGCATCCAGTGTGCAGCAGGATGTGTTCCTCCAGGAGGAACTGGAATCTGCACCCTGTGAGGGGCTGGGAGCTGTCCTGGGCTGGGGGTGGCTGTGGGCAGCGAGGGCTGGTTCTGTGTGTGCCCCACGTGCCAGCTGATGTGTGCCAGGGGACGTGGGGCTCTGTGCTCTGCCAGGCTGCCACTGGAGCATCCATAGCCTGGATGCCCCCTCCCCTGGCAGTGGGATGGACCCTGGCTGTGTTTCCAGTTCCAGGGGAGGAGTCTCTTGTTCCTGTCCACACTTTCTGCTCCCTGGTGAGGGGTGCTGGGGCGTGGTGCTGGTCTGTGGTGGGAGGCTGGCAGGCAGCAGCTTGAGCTGTACCCAGGGGTGCCCCAGGCTCTGTCCATGTTTTGGGGGCTCTGGGGTCATTGTCTGCTCTGGCTGCCTCCTCAAAGAGCTCCTCAGGCTCATGGGGGCTGTGCTGGGGTCTGTCCTCATGGGCACTGATGGGCCTTTCCCTGGACTCTACCTGTTCTCCCCTCCATGGGGCACTGGCCTAGCAGGAAGGTCCCAGACAAGTGGAAGGAGTGCTGGATGGTTTTTTTTTCCACATTCCTGAGCACTCCGTGAGTTCAGAGTGGCTGGAGAGTGTCATTAGGGTCAAAACATTTGGGGAAGAGAACCAGCCCCATCTTCAGGTGCTGCTGGGGCTGATCCCAACCCTTGCCATGCCCATCCCCACGGAATCAGGGCCACTGGGGCTGCTGGAGGCTGGAGCTGTTGCTCATCAGTTTATACCAGAAGCAGGGGAGTGACTTTGATGGGGCAGGAGTGACCTGGCTGGGCCCTGGGAGGTACTCTTCAGGTTCTGTGATGTCAGGTGGGAGCTGTGGCTGCTCTTTGTGGAGAACCAAGAGGGAGCTGGTGACAACCTGCGCTGGGCAAAGTTTCAGTGACTGTTGGAGGCTGCAGAGACTGGGACCAGAGGGTGTGGAGTGCTGGGTGATGCTGCTGGGGCTGCACTTGCTGCCCAGTGCACAGAAACGTGGCCAAGGCTGGCCCAGATTTGCAATCTTTCCAGTGACAACGTCCCCTGAGCCACAAATCCCCAGTTTGAGGGAACCTGGGGAGTGGGCAGTGCCTTTGCCCTGGGAGTGCTCCTGCTCTGAAGGATGGGATGGACCTTGCTGGGGACTGGGATGGACTTTGCTGGGGGGTGGGATGGATGTTGCTGGGCGCTGGGAGGGCTGGCAGATGTCCTCCTTGTGTTTGGGTGGGCTGTCACCAGCAGGCTGGGCCCCACCAAAGCCAAGGAGGGCAGGGCTGGCAGCACCCCCGGGGCCACCAGGGAGCACCCACGGCTGTTCCCTGGGAAAACAGCCCTGCCAGTGGCTCGGGAAGGGGGAGCTGGTGTGGGGATGAAGCAGGAGGAGCGAGGACGTCAGCAGAGAGACGGGGCTGGCCCTGGCACCTGCTGCTGGTGCTGAGCCTGCACACGCAGGCAGGGTGTGACAGGGACTGTTCCTCTCCCAGCATCTGCCTCCTGGCTGCGGGAAGGAGGGGTGACAGCCACATTTACACTCCTGCTGGCTCCTGTTGACGCCGTGCAGGAATGTGGCTGCTGGAGCAGATCCCTGGGGGAGTTGGCACTCCCTGTCCTCGGCATGTGGAGCATCCAGGCTGTCCAAATCACCGCGGTGGGTCCTCCTTGCAGGCAGGCTCTGGCCCTGCCCCCTGGGGACGTGGCTGTTCCCAGGGCAGAGCAGGGCTGGGCAGGACTGCAGAGGTGTCCGAATTTCTCCGTCCCAGCCAGCAAAGGGTCCTCTCTGGAAGCAGAGAGCTGGCAGCAGATCAGGAGCTGGGTGATGTCATGCAAAGGAAAAACACCAAAGGGCGTCCGTGGAGGCAGAGGGAGCTGGAGGGAACAGATGACACCTGCATGGAGCAAAACAGCCTGGGGGGCTTGCAAGGCCCTTGTCAGGAGAGGACTGGGACCTCGGCAGCTCTGGCTCGTGTTCTCCTTTCCACTGACCTTCTGGGTGACCTTGGATGAGTCTTTCCCTCCCAGGCAAAGTGTCTCCCGTGAGCAGGGTTGGAAAGGAGCAGGAGGAGGGTCTTACCTGAGTGCCAACACCCTGCAGCAGAGCTGGGGGCCTGGCCAGCCTCGAGTCAGCTCTTCCTGTCCCGGGGATGCTTCAGCCCTGCTCTCCCTGGGCCCTGATCCAGGAGGGAGAGGCCGTGCTGGGACCTCTCCTGAGTGACTGATGTGCATGGAGACCCTGGCTGTTTCCTGGGAGAGCAGCTGGGCACAGGGTGGAATGCGGAGAGTGTGAGGAGGCTGCTGGCTGGGATTGCTGGTGATCCCTGGAGATCCCGGGATCCCTGCCCTGCTGCTGGGATCACTGGTGAGGGTGACACTGCTGTCATGGGGGAACATTTCTCCTCTGTTTCCTCCTTTCCCAGCCCCTCTGGAGAAGTCATTACACCCCTCTGCCCTCAGCCCCTCTGTGGGTGTGCTGGGAATGCTCATTGCCTGTTGCTGGAGACCACCGGGACTGCCCTGGGCTCCTGGGGGCTGTGACAGTGTGCTGTGTCCCAGGGAGATGTTTCCAGCTGTGCAGTGGTGCCACCACACCGGTGTGCAGGCTGGCCCTGCTGGGAATGGCTCTGAGAGGTGCTGTGCTGTTTGGAATGTGGAGGAATGGCTGCAAGGTCAGGCAGGGATGCAGGACAGGGAGGCTCTGCCCCGTGCAGGGCATGCCTGGGGGGCTGGATGAGGCCCATTCCCCAAATGCTACTGCAGCTGGAGATGGGGAGTGGGTTGGTCCAGCCAGGATGTGGCAGCTGCAGGATGAGCCTGGGAGATGTGACGTGTCTGCCACGGGCAGAGACAGACACCTGCCCAGCCGGAGCATCCATCGGCTCACAGCCACCCCCATCCCGTGGGAGGGGGGGGTGTGGCAACTGCAGAGGCACTGAGGGGCTCTCTGTGCTCCCAACAACACGTCAGTGGTTCTTTAGAGGCTCCTGAGCCGTGCTGTGGCTGCAGCAGCAGGAGCACACACAAGGTCACTGGAAGGGACAATGGCGCTCGGGGCACCGGAACCTCCAGCCACGGCACTGCCCTGCTTGTCCTGGGGAGGAGAGGAGCTGTCCCCCCTTTGTCACAGCCTGGGAGAGGGGACAGGGCTGCTGCAGCTGGGGCACACATGTAGAGACACACACACACTGTGCTCCCTTTGCCTGGCAGCTCCAGTTTGTCACCTGAGCCAGGGGCTGTCCTGCTGGGCAGGAGCAGCAGGTCCAGCATCCCACTCGCTGCTCACCAGGCCCTTCTGCCTCTGGAGTGGGTCTGACCTGAAGTGCTGGCACTTCTGTGCCCTCCTGAGGAAGCTCCAGCACACCCAGGGTGGACACAGCTCAGGATGTTCCACGATCCCCTGAGGGTGGGCACGGCTGAGAGGAGGTGGCACAGGATTAACCTGGTTGGAATAACTCGCCCTAGATCTGTTGTGACAGCTGGAACTGCCAGCAGCTGGCCCTCAGGTTACTCAGGACACCTTTTTCTTGTAAATAAATGTGAACAGAACGTGGGTTTGGCTTTTGAGGACCATGTGGACCCCAGAGACCTCCCTGCAGTGCCGGTCCCCTGGCCCAGGGCTGAGGTGGGGCTGCTCTGAGGCAGCTTTTTGACTCTTCTCAAAGACCTTGGGTTGGTGAAACGGGCACAGCCAAGGACTCCACAGCTCTGAAAACAAGGTTTGGCCCAAAGTGTTTGCCCTGAGGAGCCAGAACCTGCTCTCCAGCACTCTCTGCCATCCCTGGAAGTGCCCTGGCACGGAGCTGGGGGGGTTCCTGCACCCACACTCTGCTCAGCTCAGAGGTGGCAAATTCCCTCGCTGGATCCCAGAGCCATCCAGGGCACGTTCCAGATTCCAATCCCCTTGGCATGTGGTGGGGACCTGGACCTCTGTGCACTATTAATAACGTGCTGTGCTGGTGTGACCGTGTCTGAATCACTCCCCAAGGGCTTGAGGGGCAACAGGAACCTTATGGTGGGTCTGTCCCTGCTTCCCTCCCCATCCCAGCGGTACCACTCGGTCCTGCTAAGGCAAGACAAAGGATGGAAGTCCCTGCAGCCCAGATCTCCCAACTGTTGCACCAACAGGAAAAAAAATTCACTTTTCCTGAGCTTTGCTAAACCCTTTCTGGAAAACTGCGTGGAGTGGAAATGTTCCTCTGGGATCTCCTGCGTGTGGAACTATTCTGGTAGCTTGGGGTTCCCAAAAGCTGCTTTCCTGGGGAGCTTTAGTGACAGGAGGCTTTATTTTTTTGAGGAAACTTGCACTTGGGATCCAGCTTGGGTTTTTGATACTTGGGTAATTAAGTTGCCAAATCCAGGCAGGTCAAAGGTTTTACTCTCTATTGAGTTTTGCCTCCCATGAAGTGGAAGAGACTCCAGCTCTGAGCGTGGCCTCTGGAATCACGGGGTGTTGGGAACAGTCAGCACGTGGCAAGGGAGCTGAGAACACAAAAAATAGAGCCAGGCCCTCCAAGCTGCCCCTGCCCAGCCCAGGGATGAGCACGGGGAGCCAGGAGAGCTGGAGGAGATCCCACTGCAGTGTGCAGAGTCAGCCTGCACCCAGCAGGGACAAGGAGGTGACTGTGTCCCTTCCCTCTGCCCGGCCAGCAGGGAACAAGGGCTGTGCAGGGAGCAGGATGGGGGGAAAACCTCTTGGGAAGGGTGTGAGGAGAGCCCAGTCCTGGATCATCTCAAGGAGCCCAGGTGTTTGTTGGGAGGTGTTTGTGGATCCCGTGTCTGTGTTGCAGGAAGCAAAAGGGAGTGAGTTGAGGACCTGCCAGGTGTCCCCATGTCATGTGCAGGGATTTGGGAAGCATGGAATGTGGGAGTTCTGTTTTGAGGAGCCTTCCCTCAGACACCCTCTGCCCTTGGATTTTCCCAAGCCAAACGAGGGAAAGACCAACCCAGGGCTGCCCTCCCCCCTGAGGTGTCTGTGAGATGCCATCAGAGCTGGCCTGGAGGCACCTCCTTCTCAGATCCCAGTCTGGTCCCTTTGCCTGATGGAAATGGGGACTGGACATGGCTGGATGGGCTGGATTCCCGCTTCCCATTCCCACTTCCCACCCCCATGTGCCATGGCACCAGGCTGTGCCAGCCCTGCCAGCGCCGGTGCCTCTGGTGCAGGTGGCCCCCATTAAGTCATGGCTGAGATTAGGGCTGTTTTCAGAAGGTTCCTTTGAGTGGAGGTTTGTTTGTGTAAATATTTGGACGTTTCTCAGGCGTGATTATCGAGCAACCTGCACCTCATGCATATTCAGAGGCCTCAGCGATTGCCTCCTCTCCTGTGAGTGGGAGCAGGGCCGGGGCCACGGCTGGGGATGCTGGGGATGCTGGGGACACTGGGGGCAGTGCTGGTGGCAGCACTGGGAGAGCCCAGGCAGCTCTGCCCCGAGCTGGGAGCACTGGTGATGCCCCCAGTGCCAGGGCTGGGGTGGTACCCGCGGTGCTGGAGGGCACGGGGGGCTGCTGAGGGCACCGTGCCCGGCTGGGTGGGCACTCCTGGGCTCCCTGGAGCAGGGACGGTCCCTGCCCTGCAGTGCCCAGCTCTGGGGGAGGCAGAGGGAGGGGGCAGGGGGGCTGAGCACAGAGCCTGGGGGCTCCTGGCTGCTCCCCAGGCGATGCTCAGGGTGGTGCAAAGCAGATGCAGAGGCTCCAGAGCAGCTTGTTTTGCATCCCTGCATCCCCCATCAGCTGGGATCCTCCCACCCCACGGGCTCAGCTCTCAGGGACCTGTCACTGCTGATCCCCTCCCATACAGCCCCCACAGACCTGCCTGATTTTTCCTGCTCTACAACTCCCTCACTCCATCCCTGCCATTTCCCTGCTTTTCCCAAGTTAACCAGGGGTTTTCCAGGCAGTTCAGCTTCATCCTAGCCTTGGTCCCCATCACCTCATTGCACAAATGAACCCAGTCTTGGTCATGCAGCAGGAGAACCTGAGGTGGTCTTGGATCTTGTGTGACTTTTCCAGGAGTGATGCTGAGGGAGGAATTCCTTCCTCTGCTGTGGGAGGAGGAATTCAGGGATGCTCTCACGAGCCTCCTCCGTGGCTCTGAACGCTCCCTGCTCTGCTATGGGAGGGATACAAGCCTCGTTTGGCTCTGGGATAGAACAGCTCAGCCTGGGGCTGTCCTGCAGGGCAGGGACAGGCCAGTTCTCCCTCCTGCCAGGGGAGGGGTGGTGGTGTCCCCTGCAGGGCCACACAGCTGCTCCCAGCCCCTGTGTGCTCACAGGAACAAGTGGCCTCTGCCTCAAACACAGACCTCTGTGTCCCTGGGGGTGTGCTCTGCTCAGTATTTTCTGCCTTGCAGATGAGGAGAGGCTCGGGCACGGGGAGAGCTCCAGGGTCAGCTTTCCGTGCTTCCCTCCCTCCCTCCCTGCCAGTTCCTCTGACTGGCATCGGCTCCAGAAGCCAGGACAGCCCTTCAGCTCCCTGGGGTGGTGGTAGGAGATGGGAGGAGGGTGCTGAGCAGTCTGTGAGGGGGTGGACAGGGTGCTGACCATTCTCACCGTCCATGTCCCCGCCACAGGCACCACGTCCACTACGTCATCCCGTACGACGGGGACCAGTCGGTGGTGGACTCCTCGGAGAATTACTTTGTGACTGACAATGTAACCAAGCAGGAGATTGACCTGATGCTGGGACTTTTGCTGGGCTTTTGTATAAGCTGGTTTCTGGTGTGGATGGACGGGGTTCTCCACTACGCGGTGCGAGCCTGGAGAACCAGCCGACGGTATGGTAAGTGCAGCCCCACGGGCTCCTGCTCTTCCCCAAAACCCCTGCCCTGCCTTTGGAAGCGGGTGGAGAGGCAGGAGATCCACACTCCTGCCACGTTTATTCCATCTGGGTTTGGCACAAGCCTGGCCAGACCTATCCCAGCCCTTTCTATCCTGGGGGTTGGACTCGATGATCCCTCGCGGGGCCCTCCCAGCTCAGGAGATTCCGTGATTGTGTGAGAGAAGCAGGAATGCTGATGTGGGAGCAGCCAGCTGAGGGTCCCATCACCCCGAGGGTGATGCATGTGTGGGTGCAGAGGGGTGTTGGAGGCAAAGGGAGGTGTCTGGGCAGGATGGTGATGGGGGTTCTGTGGCTGCTCATTTGGGCTGAACATTTTTCAGGCCAGACCAAACTTCCAAAATCTGGATTAAAAAAAAAAAAAGCTAGAAAAAAAATCTGGATTTTTCCAATTTACAGCCAGGCTCAAGCAGCCTTGTGTGGTCATGTAAACCTGTGACATCGTGATGACAATGACAGACATCTGTGCCGTGTCACCTGAGGTTTTTCCCATCCTTGTTGCTGCCCAAATGTCTCCAAATGTGGTGACTTTGGACTGGTCTTTGGACCAGTAAGCTCAGCATCCCGAATTAACACCCTCAGAAGGACAAACAGATGCTCCTTCCCTTCCCCCCCTCAGCATGGACACCCCATGGACTTTAATCTTTGGAAGGGAAAAAAAAAAAAGACAAAAAAAAGTATTAATCCAGGGAATGGCTTGAAATTCCCTCACACTGTACCCATAAATCTCGGTGTCTCCAGCCCTGACTGATGGTGCCTGTGAAATTACAACTCGGAGGAAAAGGAGAGCGAGCAAGAGGAAGATTTATCTGCAAAATTCTAATTAAGGAAGTGGACTATCTCCCTCAAAAAACTCAGATAAAAATGATATTAATTTCCCATTAGTCTTCCCAAATGCTGCGTGAGCAGGCTCTGAGTCAGGGCTCCCTCCAGGCTGTGGTGCTGCTGTTCCCCAAAGCAGAGGGACGAGTGGCAGGGTTTGCAGTGGGATCTCAGGTGCTGAGCCAGCGTTGAGGCCCCCACCCCTATTTTGACTCCCCAGCACCCAAGAGGTCAGAGCTGGCAGGGGTTGTTGTGGGGAGCAGGGAAATATTGTTCTTAGAGCTGGAGCTGTGAGCTGCACTTGTGGTATCACCATCTAACCCACCCCTTGTGAATGGAGACTGCAGAGGGTTTTATTTTTAGTAATTAATTTAGTGTTTAAGCTAATTGATCTCATTTGTTTCTTTCTTTTTTTTTTTCCCCCCCTCCCTGTCTATGCCCATTCTAAGCCTTTAAGAAGGGTTTGGCCAGTGGTGCATTGTTCTTTTAGGTATTTCCTACTCATTCAGATCATCTGTGCAAATTAGGCATTTTAAAAGGCAATAAGCAGAAAGGAATCCCATTTCTTTGTGGAACAAAGCTGGAATTTGCTTCTAAAGAGAGAAATGGCGCCTGTGAGGGCGAGACAGGGGCAGGGTAATCCAAATTCTGTGCTGGTACAGAACGAGGAGCCCTCCCTGAAAAACATGAGCACCACTTAGCAGTGACTCAATGTCACATTGGGGCCTGATCAGCTCAAATGGTGGCCTGTCAGGATAACCTATAGCTCCTTCCCCATGGAAGGGGTGGCTTAAAATAGAAACTATTCCATGGAAGCTCAGCCATCAGCCTGTGCTCCGTAGTAGCTTGGTCAGAGCAGTCCCAGCCACCTCATGGCAGCTGCAGTCGTGGGCTCAGGCTCGTTTGGGATGGAAAAGACCCCTGAGATCAGCGAGCCCAACCATTTCCCAGCACAGCTGTTTAACTTCACTCCATCTGCCGCTCTCTGGGACTGCCCAGCTGTCCCCTGGGGGGATTTCTGGGGGGAATCCCCCCGAGCTCTGGTGGGACTGGAGGGCAGCTGAAATGTTGCTGCAGGGGGAGGTTCAGGGGCTGAGAGCTGAGCCACTGGGGAACCAAATGACACGTTCAGTGCCCGAGCTGAGGGGCAGAGAGTGGCCCAGTGCTGCCACATCCACCTCGTCCCTGCTCCGTCCCCAGGGGAAGGCTCGAGGGTGGCTTTGCAGTGGGACAGCCCTGGGACAGCCCAGCTCTCACCACTCCTCTCACATCCTCACCTTCCTTCTCCTTTCTGCCTTCCAGACAACTCCTGGTCTTGGATCCCCAAATTTTGTAACTTGAAGGAGTTCAGGAAACGTCACCACAGGCAGTACGAGGAGGCCACCGGGAACATGGTGCACATCAAACAGAAGCTGTACCATAACGGGCACCCCAGCCCACGGCACCTCTGAGGGAACCTGCCCCTGCTGGGGGGACTGCAGTGAGCTTTTAAAAACAGGACTTCTGCTCTTCTTCCAGCTTCTGGTTTGCTCCTCCATGGAAGCCCAGCCGAGGACACGATTTTACTGATCCATCCCGTGTGTCCAACCCCCCCCCCCCCTTCCCAGGGACACACCACGATGCACAACTAAGCCAGTCCTGGATGCTACGCAGCCAAGACATTGCACTGTGGTCCACGTTTTATTGTCAGACTTGTGTATATATGTAAAAAAAAAAAAAAAAAA